TATTTTTAATTCAAATTCAAAAGGCGGCAAAAGTGGGCGTCAATCCGGAGGCCTACAAAAAGTTTAGCGAAAGTCAAATCGGATACATATTAGGCGATACGGGCAGGAGTTTTGTGGTGGGCGTAGGCGTCAACCCACCCACCCGTCCTCATCACAGATCATCGTACGTCCAAAATAATCATTTAATTTAATCTAAAAAATTAGCTCATTTTAAATTTAAATTTACAGGTCGTGCCCGAATGAGCCGGTATTATGCGACTACTCAGCCATGCAAAATCCAGGTCCCAATCCCCACATACTTACCGGCGCTGTGGTTGGCGGACCTGATAAGAGCGATGCCTACGTAGATAAACGGGACGATTACGTGCACAACGAGGTGGCCATGGATTATAACGCCGCCTTTCAGGGCACGTTGGCCGCGCTCCTACACCTCAAGTCTTAATAAATGCACGTTTTCTTGTTAATGTCTCCCCAAAGAGTATTATGGAGTTTCAGTTTAAATATAATTTTATTTTATACAATGTTTTTGTATTTTTACATGTATTTGTGGACCATTTATTAATTAATAATAAAATTTACTTTTGATTCAAAAATAATAATAAATTATTCATATTTTTATTTTAATTTACAAATATTTTTTATTTTTGAGATAAAAGCTCACAGGTGGAATAAAAAATGAGAATACCGGTTAATTTTTAATTAGATAATGGTACTGGTACTGTATTATTAATGATAAATACAATGATTTTAAATAAAATTTATTCATTTATTCATTTATACTTGGATTTCTCATTATTGTATCGTATGGCAAACTTTAATTTATGATCAAAAAACAAAAGTATAATTTTAAAACTACTTTCTTAATTTAATTTCACTTAAAGTTTTAAAATTTGTCAAGACTTATCATTTAGTGTCAATTATAAAATTAAAATCTATAGTTTTAATAACATAAACTCAATGGGTTTATTATTTACCTTGAAAGTATACGAAGACTAATTGTATGGGAACTAGAGGTGTTAGCGTGATATCAGATTTAGCTCAATTGTTGTATAATAGGATATTAATGATTTGCCAATAAATATATTATCAATATACTTTATTTGTATATTGAGTAAACATTTCGCTATTTGTTCACAG